AAAAATTCTAGGGGGTTCACTTTGGTAAATTTGGCCAAAAATTACTCAAAAAATAGTCAGAATGGTGAAAAACTGCATGATTTTGAAAGAAATTTTGGCCAGGGGGGGGAGGTTTGCTTGAACCCTTCGAACCCCCCCCCCCTGGCTACAGGCCTGTGGGTGGCACAAGAACTCTTGGCATCAAGATAGGCCTAGTAGAAAACGGTTCATCATTTCAACTTGAAATTTTTACAAATGCAAGACCTTCTGAAGCAGTATTAAAAGAAACTTCCTAAAGTTAGGAATTCATAAACTTCATTGTTCTCTTACTTATTGTTCTCTTACTTATCCCCCAGGATATCAGCAGCCCTCCTATCTTTTGTTTCATTGCAAGGCATTTTACCATTTACAGGTGACATCCAGGTTAAAATGAATATTGTACTTTATTGTTTATTTATATAAGGGGACATCTAATGCTTACAGCGCTTTGCCCCTTGTAATTGTATCTAAATGAATTGTGCTTACAATAAATATGAAAGATGTTAAAAAAATTGTTCTCTTACTGTGACATCATTATCTCCATGGTTACAACAATACAATGGATTTTACTAATTCGTTTCTGTTCTGTTCCAGACTAGCCTTATAATCCAATTAGGTTTTGGGCATGCTTGTTAATTCATTTTAAGTGCGATATTTAACACTTTGTTTCTTGTTTTACTTAGTCATCATATTGGTAGACCTTAGGGTTGTGCTGTTTGCTTTAATGTTTCCCTTTGGGCTTTTCAAAATGAATTATCTTATTGGTGTTATTGTAATATTACCTTGCATTCATCTTCAAATTTTCAATTTCCTCGCCATTTGAACTGCCATTGCGCCATTTGGGTCTTACTGATTGCCTTAAGTTTATTTTTTCATGGTAGCATTATTCCCTTCCTCCATATTGCGTATGTTGTTCTACGTATTTGACAAAATTTCTTCCAAAACTGAAAGGGACGAACACTATGTTTGGGTCATACTGTTCTATAGAGTATACCAGAGAGATGCATCTAATATATAAGCCCAATGCACAATTCCATTATAAAACTCATACAAAAACATGAAAAAACATTGATGTCACTTTCACATTATTCAATCAATTTGTGTTATATTATGTTTTGACTATCAAAAGGCCTTGTTAAAATGTGTAGAATGTTTAGCTTCCTAGTCAACTCATACCCAAGACAAGTCGTACCCAAGACAAGTCGTACCCAAGACAACTCGTACCCAAGATAACTGGTACCCAAGACAACTCGTACCCAATTTATTTCCAGTATTGTGGGTGCATATTAGGAAAACAAATTGAGTTTTTTATAATAAAGTTTTCATGTTATAATGTGGCTCAAATAAGCCTCAATATTTTTTTTAAATTTAGAAGACATGTTTTCTTTTTGAATTTAGAAGACATTTTTTCTCAATGGATTAAGTAAAGCATTTTGATTTAACTTGAATCACCTTTTTTATTAATAAAAGAAGTGCTTGAAGTGCTTGTTCTCAACATTTTTTGTCAAACACATATATAAATAAATATAATTACAACAGTGACTTTTCTACAAATGAATCATACAATTAATTTAGTGCGTTTCGAGAAAGTTTAAAGGAAGTTTAATCTGTTAATTTTTTTTTTTCTAATTGGAACTAAATTGGATCATGTTTGAGCACATGCATACTAAGTGTTATAATATATCATAATATTTGATATTAATATTATATATTATTAAATATATTATATTATTAAAAATATTTTATTGCTAAATTTCATGAATATGACTTCTGCTAATATGAAATTCTAGACAAATAGATTATCTGTTTAATAAGAAATTAGGTCCAAGATTTGATAAATCTATACATTGATAAGGATACCATTTTCAAAATGAATTGAATCTGACACTTGTTCCAAACACACATACAATATTTTGAAAAATGATTATGAATGTGTGGAATAAACATATGTCTCTTCACTCTAACATCCAATATAAAATAATAGTCAAAATAAATTGACACTCAAAGCTCAAAATGTCACAAAATTAAAACAATTTCTTCTGAAAATTCTTCAAACTTCTGAACAGTATATTACAATTATAATATGTATATCTATACACATTCCCAGTCCAACGCTTGATTCAAAACAAAATATATACTAAGGTACGAGTTGTCTTGGGTACGACTTGTCTTTGGTACGAGTTGACCAGTTACCGAATGTTTAACATGTGGTGTATGCATTTTTTTAGTTATAACAAAATGGTACGATTCCTTTTACTGAAATTCATTTCTTTTGTTTGGAAAGGTTATTAATTAAGTTGTAATTTGTTCATATCAAGCAAACATTTCAATAATTGTTGCCTAATATCAAATTGCAGAGAAATTGATTATATATATAACCCTAGGGGGATGACTCTTAGTGCATTGTACTCTTTACTTGCACTCTTATGGCCTGCACTATTGACTGTACTATACTGTATGCACATTTCCATTTTTTATCTTAATGAGATTTTTTCATATTCAATTTTTAATGTTTGTCAAATATGTGTTTTTTATTTAAAGTTCTTGTTATTTGGTTGATATGTTGACATCAAAATCATAAATATTACAGTTACTTTGGATCATGCTATAGGAATGAGAATTTCACCTTCAAAATGGTATTTATTTTAACCTGCTAGTAACACACTTATTTAACAGTTTCAGACTCGGCTCATCCGTGTAATTAACTGTGATTCCTTAAAATAACAGCTTTTGCCCAAACATTATGGCATTTCCTAAAAGATATCACTTAGGTTATAATTTTTGAAGAGTGAAAAAAGCGGGAATCGAAAAAGAGTATATGTATATAATTTAGAAAATTATAGCTGTTTGTTGTAAAAACAGCAAGCTATTTGATAACAATGTCCTTCAATGCAGCAAACGGGTTTGAATACAGATCACAGCTTGCCCATTTCTACACTATAATCAATGTGGACCTCTTGTGTCCAAATCACCATGTTTGATAGATTTTTGTTGACAGAATGGGACTGACAGTTAGGAACCTGGATCTTGTCTGACACTGTGTTTCTGTTATTTAAATATCACTCTGTTTGCAAAAATCTAGGGGACCAAAAAATGAATGGTTGGAGACAAAATGTCAGACTTGTTTTTTTATGTGCCTATATTTTTGTAAATATTTTGGGTCGACTCATCATATCCAGGACCTGGAAACATATATCGATATTTAAAATGAGACCAAAATATTACATTTAGTGTTATTTTTGTTTATTTACTGCTTTGGCACCACATATGATATACTCCACTTTTATATCATTTTATTTTCACTTATATACAAGTGGTATCTTTAAAACCACACTTCTTTCAGTCTTGTTGATGGGGTCATGAATTGCATTTAGATTTATAGAAATGGTAGATTCAAATAATTCATCAAGAGCCACAACTCCACCCAGTCTTTTCACGAGTTCTACTTGACGGGACAGTGACTGTATGTTTATTTCTGCTGGCATCTTTCAGTCTTAAAATCATAACTTATTTCTTAAAAACACCACCATACAATTTTCTTTTTCATCATATGTAATTACCATATGTTTTGATAAGTTATATTGCATGATGTTAAACATGCTTACAGTGACATTTTAAATATAGTTTTTGATTTGATTATTGGTTCGGTTGGTTCATAGAGGGGACACTAACAATGACATTTTTGTAAACCTTAAATGTTCAAGACTGGTAAGAATCCAAATTTAACCATCCTCTGAGTGCGGGGCTAAAATCCAGGGACCATGAATTCGCACAATACAGTGTACAGTGAAACCTGTGTACATCGAACATTTTTTTGCCATTTTGCCAAGAAAAAAGGTTCAATGTTGGAAGGTGTTCCCTATAGTGAGGGTAACTTATACAGAAGGCAGTAGAGTATGTGGGGAGGAGGGACGATCAGGGGCATTCACTAGGGAGGTTTACACTAAGACAGGCCTTACTGTGCTATCCAGATAATTTTGGGATCTCACAAAAATCACAACACCAGACTAGAACTTCCTATCTCTGTAACCATTGGATAGGGCCTCACAATAAAAAAAGTTCAAACATTGACATTTTAGTATTTCTTATACATCCATGCTTCACTCATCTGGTAGAGTGTGTCTTATTATCAATCGCATCAATTACTATTATGCTACACTCCCTTTATGGTACAGCTACCATGAACATTAATTTACAGAATGGTGGGTTGGGACATTGAAATGGTCTGACAAAAAATCCCAGCAAACCAGAGACATAAAATGACATGTGATTATATGTCTTGAGCAAACTGAGCAATTATTTTTCAAGTGTTGAAAATTGCATAAGTTTTATGCAACGTTATTTTAACTCTGCATGTCCCCCACATATACCGATTTAATGTAAGTTATAAAATAAAGATGTTTGTAAAATTATGGACATTAATAGTCCTTCTTTGGAGGTCTATCTTGTTGAAAAGTTTCAAATCTGTTGGATAATCTATTCAGTATATATTTATTAAAATCCAGGTGTACATTCTTATCCCTGGTATCTTGGAACTGATTTTAAAATGGTTTGCGATTTATTCTTTTGATGGTAGAAATTAACGATCTTATGTATGTTTATCTCAAACTGCCAGGCAACCACGCATGTTTTCCAACTGTCTCTACCCAAAACGCTTACATACATATTTTTTTTTTTTTTTGTAATATATTTATAAAATTCCAGGTATACATATGTTTATCTAATACTGACAGGTTTCTATAATGTCTGTAGCAAGCATACTTCAAATTCTCAACCTTTCTTGCCTTTCTTAAGGGGTCTGCGCATACACCCACTTGCAGTGTCCTTATTTCTGAATTCGGATATGGCCCAAAATTAAAATACATGCTTACAATGCTTTCTCCAGGTTGTATATGTAGTCATGCACCATGAATACAGAGAATAAACTACTAAAAATGAATATGCACAAACATTATAAACCATTTCAATTTTTATATTTCCAGCCCAGTATTGCAGTATACAATGAGAGCTACAAGAAGAATACATAAAGGTAATGTTTCTCCCTTATCTACAGCTCTTTTACAGTACAATGCACAATGTGATGCAAGATCTTGGGCATCTTGGGGGATGGGCATGTACTGCAAATATTTTCTGGTTACAGAAACAGATGGGAGTTAGCAGAATATTTTTGTATAAATATTTTAACCCTACATATTTTTTTACTCTCATTTTCACATCACTCTCACATTGCAACACATTCACACTCCAAAAGAATCTATAACACACTCTCACTTCAACACACTGTCATATAAGGCACACTCTCACAACATACTCAAATTGCAGCACACACTACACCACACTCTCACATTACAACACACTCACCTGACACTCACACTACAATACATATGTTTACTACAACATACTCAAATTACAACATACACCACACTACACTCTCACTTTACAACACACTCAATCTCTAACACACTTTCATACTACAGCATACTCAAATTACAGCAGACACAATGTCACACACTCACACAACAACACACTTTTATACTACAACATACTCAAATTACAACATACACTACACTACACTCTAACATTACAACACACTCACCTGACAACACACTCACTCTACAACACACTTTCATACTAAAACATACTTTTACTGCAACACACTCACTCACTCAATATGAAAATTTCTTTGAGTTTTTGAGTTTTTCTTTGAGTTTTTGTAAAATATTATCTATAAAACAATATAAAAGTCTGTATTATAGACTTACAAAATTCAAGATTGTGATAAGCATTCAAAAAAAGTATAAAGTATTTCTATGTGAAATGTTTTAAAACCCTCCTGCCAATATTGACTTAGTCATGGAGTTATCCAAGTAGATTTTCGACACTCAAATATTAGATGATTCTGGTGTGGACCATATGTTCCACTTATCATCCAGTTTGACAATCGTTTCATAAAGGTATTCCAAAAACCAGGTTTTAACATTACCTCCACCAGGGAACGTAGTAAATGTCATAAGCCATGGATATGATTGAAAGAAGAACTATGCTCATATGTATGTGCAATGTACATGTATATGGAGGGAGTGGTTCATGTTTTACCAACTATACCACTTGCTCATATTGTGTGTGGTACCCAAGATCTATTCTTTTGCTTTTTGTTTCTGATGTGATTTGACAATGTAACATATTTCAATTTTCATAGAAATATAAAGATACTTTTAGTTTGTCTGTCAGTTTTATTATGACTTGATTCCAGATGAAATCTGGAATGCATTTCTTTTGCCTGGTTTTCTTTTTAGAAATTCTTTTTGTAGCTTGGTTCTCTCAGAAGTTTTAAGTCGTATAGTTCAAGCTACTCATATGGTTGGTAAAAGTTTGTCACCATGTTGTGTGGGAAAGGACCAAAAAGTTACACTCGAAAATAAAAATCTAGATCCGATCTAAGTTTTTGAGCATGTTATATTATCCAGAATTTGGAATTAATTCAATTTCACATTTTCAGTTTTTATTTTATTTTTACAAAACCTTACTTTGAAACATTATTTTCAAAAATTCAACTTAATTGTGGTTTAATCAGTCTGATCAGTGGAGCAATTAGATTTACAGGATGAAATGTCTTGAGTATTTGTTAATGATGTTCTCATCAAAGGCGCCTAACCAACCAAAGTTCATCAGATCATCATTTTTTGCTTTTTAGATCAAAGCTACCCCATGTTGTTGTGCAATGTTAATGGAGTGTCTTCTTTCTTTATGGGTTCATCTTTAACCTTATAGTGAGTGCAAAGCAAGGTTTTCAATTTATTTTTGTAAAATTTAATCTCTATATCATTTTGTCAGTGTTAAGCTATTAAGAATAAGATTTGAGTAACGGATGATTTGTGAGAGGATGATTTGTGATTTGGATTCTATTAAGACACGGTATTGCATAGACAACAATAAGAAGTCAAAATACAAATCTGTCATATCACTGTCTTGAGACTTGATTTATGTATTGTAGAATAGAGTCTATAACTAGACATCAGAGCTCATAATATAACCAGTTACATACCCTAAAGCCCTGCATATACTGACAGGCAAAATGTTTGAAATCAGGACGTAATGGCGAAACTTCTTAAAATGGTTGAAATGAAAGTGAAAATGAAAATAGCTCAGGCGAATTGATTCAAATGCTTGAGATGGCGAAACAGGCACAAACAGTGAAACTGTAATTTCATTTTCCAAGATCACGCCTGGTGATCGTACAAAATGGATGGAAGGGGAATAGGCGAAAGAGAACTCAACAAATTTGGAAGATTTATTTTTTCAAGAGAAAATTACAACTGAATTGCCAAATGAATAGGCACAGTGCATGGCAAAATATGTTAGGTCTTCTAGTATTTTTTTGAACTGATAGGCTTCTAAGATATGAGATCTATTAAAAAAGGTGCATCATCACCAACGTGCAAAAGTCAATGTTTTTGCTATAAATCAGGCAAAAATGGTCCAGACGACCTGTAATAAGGTATAAGGGACGTTATTATCACAACACTAATGACATTGCTCACTTTTTAAGAAAACAGGTTCATACCCTAACACACATCAGTCTTGTGCACTTTCCTAAGAAACCAGTTGCATACCCTAACACACATCAGTCTTGTGCACTTTCTTAAAAATCCAGTTGCATACCCTAACACACATCAGTCTTGTGCACTTTCTTAAAAATCCAGTTGCATACCCTAACGCACATCAGTCTTGTGCACTTTCTTAAAAATCCAGTTGCATACCCTAACACACATCAGTCTTGTGCACTTTCTTAAAAATCCAGTTGCATACCCTAATGGCCTAGTCACATAGCCCGGCCGATGTCCGGCATCGGTAGAGCTCGGTGGATTTTTTTGGTGCCACCGAGCTCTCCTCATCGGAAGCAGAGCTCGGTGACGTGAACGGACTCCGTCCGGACATCTTCAGGTACTATACTTTCCAAGGCTCTGTCCCACATCGGCCGGAGCTCGGTCGGAGCTCGGCCGGTGTCCGTTAAAAAAACCTCGTCCTCTGGTTGTCTCAGATGCACCGGACACCGACCGATACTCGGCCGTGCACCGGCCGACGTGTGTTCTGATGTGGTTACGATGGGGCTGCGATGAGGGAGCTCGGTGAGAGCCCGGTGAAATTTAACTCCGAAGTTAAAATTTCACCGAGCTGCCACCGATGCGGTTTTAAGCAACAAACGCCACGGATGTCCGGCCGGTGTCCGGCCGGTGTTCGGCCGAGTTCGGTGAAAATTGCATCGCTGGCTCATCGGAACCTCATCGGCCGGGCTATGTGACTAGGCCATTACACACATCAGTCTTGTGTACTTTCTTAAAAATCCAGTTGCATACCATAACACACATCAGTCTTGTGCACTTTCTTAAAAATCCAGTTGCATACCCTAACACACATCAGTCTTGTGTACTTTCTTAAAAATCCAGTTGCATACCCTAACACACATCAGTCTTGTGAACTTTAAAAAAACAGTTGCATACCCTAAAACACATCAGTCTTGTGAACTTTCATGCCCACAATACACTTTTCCCAGAAGGAAAAAGAATTGTTTTTTTGTTTCCACGATTTTCTTCCGGTTCCTTGTTTAACTAAAATGCTATAAAGAACATAATCTTAAAAAATCTCTAAAAACTCATGAAAGACCCCTTAGACTACTGAAGTGCTTGATAAAGGAAACATGACCTTCTTTCCCACAAAAACACATTAAGTGCACTTATGATGACAAGTTTGCCCATATTACATACAATTAGCATAGCAATTAGATGAAAACACCCTCAAGTAGGAGAATTTGTTTAAACATATAAATGTAATGTTTTGTTTATTCATGGCTTGGGGGATGCCCTGCAGAGTGAAATAGTTGATTAACCTAGTACCTTATTATTTAAAATCTGAATTGTTTAGTGTGAAAATAAACATGTTTTGAAGATATTTTGATATTGATTGAATTTTTTATTTATTCATTGAATGAACTTTTCATTCTGTATAACAGCACATCGAATCACTGCGTTAAATTGTAATTATTATTATTATTTGCATGTATGTATGTAAGAATGGATTTATTAATTTTCATGTTTTCAGAACATGAAGAAATGCACCAGAGAATATATCTGACTTAGAATTATAATTTGAAATTTGATAATTAGAATTTTTGATGAACCATCATTTTAGATGCAATTTTATTTTATATTTTGATAACTATTTTGAATTTTGTAACCACAATGTACAGTGATTAAAATATATATTTATACTGTATTCTTTGGTCGGATCCCATTGGGTAACACTAGATAAGTTCATAATTCAAACGCATAGTTTAGGAAGTAGTCTCTAAGGAAACGGCTAAAAAAGGTTTGGCTGAAAAAAATTAAGATCATCAACCTGCAACTTTGAAATTACTAGATGGCGCCACTATACCCTGCCATAAAAACAGAATTTACCCAAACCTGGAAAAATAGATCCCGTATTCCTACACTTCAGGGTATTTACTAAAAGGATGTCAAACATTATTTTATTCCCAAAAAGACATGTCGCTATTATCTAGGTCAATCTGTTCAGTGTCCGAAAGCAAATCTATAGTACTCATTTCTGAATTTTGATATACTGACATTAAAGCAATGACAGAACAATACTTCCGATGGTGTCATTTTGGTATCATTTAATCTTGATTCCAAAAGTTTTGTGGTTGTTTGAGAATTTATCTATGGTTATTTACCATCATTGCTTTATTAATTTGCATGACGAAACTATTGAAATCCAGATTCAACTTAGTTTAGCTGAAATCGGAGGTTTATCGAAAACTGAAGAATTTCGGCAACCATCTTCAATGAAGCTAACTGCAGTTAGAGTCATCCAGCTGTTAAATAGTGTATATTGAATGAACCATGTAAAAATATAAGGGATGAGGGGGGTATGAAAAATATTGCATTTGAGACAAGGCAAGTAAAAAAAAAAAGAATAGCGACATGTCTTTTTAAAATACTTTATGTGTCAAAATATTCTAACTGAACTTCA